CTCTACGAGTAGAGACGATGGTACAGTGTAACGAGTACGACGTATACTTGACCATCTAGTGTAAACAACTTGAACTCAAGGTCTAAAGCCATGACAATACGAGAGACTATCATTGGACCATCTGAGGAACAGGTTCAACTCAGATCAGAGCCATGACAAATAACGAGAGACTATCATTGGACCAGCTGAGGAACAACTTCAACTCAGATCAGAGCCATGACAGATAACGAGAGACTATCATTGGACCATCTGAGAAACAACTTCAACTCAGGTCAGAGCCATGACAAACAACGAGAGACTATTGTTGAACCATCTGAAAAAGACCTCTAAGTGACACCATGAGAACCCGGGCAGACGCGCGCGTCATCTACAACTCTGTAAAACCTCGAAACATAAAAAATGATCCTGAACCAGAAGATAGACAGTTCTGTTTTGGTTGAACACACGTATGTCCCCAGAGCACTCCAGGCCTTGCTTAACTGTACCACATAAACTCAACAACACATCACAATCACAAATTTCCGACCGGATGCAACAACAAGCCTCCCGCGACAAACCGATCGTGCGCGGTTGGGACGACATAAATAAAACCAGAATCGAATCAGCACTCTCACAGGGTTTCATGACACGACGCACCTGAGCCAGTAGTAACGGCATTGAGTCAGAGTTGTACCAGCCCTCCTCCACTGAGTAGAATATAGCCGTGAGTACACACAGCAGCAACAGCGCAGGGGCGGGCCAGAACTCCATCACCAGAAGAATGCCCATCGCCGTGACCTGTGCGATTCCGAGTGACTGTGGTGTTGCGTAGTATAAGTTGCGTGTTGTTAACTATGCGGATATAAGTTAATGATAAGCATGAGATGACAGATATATCGTAAGAATGCCCATCGCCGTGACCTGTGCGATTCCGAGTGACTGTGGCGTTGAGTAGTATAAGTTGCGTGTTGCTAACTATGCGGATATAAGTTAATGTGGGCGATTCCGAGTGACTGTGGTGTTGCGTAGTATATAGTCACCATACAAAACTATAACGAAAAGCTTTCATAATTGTCTCTGTGAGAAAGGTACTAGAAGACTCCATTGTCAGCAATTTATGCAAACCTGCGCGTCTGCGATTGTGTGTCGCAAATGGTCAGCTCATAGAGTGATATAATGAACCGAATGGACAATGCACTCAGTATACGAGCAACAACTACCCATCCATCAGCAAGAACTACCGATACATGACCGATACCGTGCGAGTCACAGGTACTTGTGCAGTATAGGATGGGCAGACATATTGATCCAATAGAAAACCGCATGGGAGGTACCAGGATGGGGTGACGCTTTGGGAATCCTGCGGTGTATTTGCGATACTCGCCAAACTCATACGATAGAGTGCGTATACACTTCGATGTAGCATACTAAGTACACACGTGCTTTTAAATATCTCCCTCCACTCATCCCTGCTCAATATTTGTTCTCCTCAAAACTCACCCTCTTTGACTGCAGGCCGGAAGACTTACGTGAGCACTGAATATAAGGCACACATGGTTTACGTAGATGTATCTTACCTGAAACATGTCTCCCCTGCACACATCACTACAGGCTGCATAGCTCACCCTCCATCACAAGCGCCCCAAAATACGAACCCAGTATCTACGAAGCACTGTTAGTCTAACTATAGTATATATACAGAATTATATGATGTAGTGACTCTCAAGACAAACTTACTATGCAAACTTATAGTATATATACATAATGTACAGGTTGTGAACGTATATGATATAGTGACTCTCAAGAGAAACTTACGATGCAAACTTATAGTATATACAGATTGCATAGAGTGTGAACGTATATGATATAATATAGTGACTACTAGACAAACCTACGATGCAAACTTATAGTATATACAGAATGTTCAAAGTGTGAACGTAGATGATATAGCGACTCTCAGAGAAACTTACGATGCAAACTTATAGTATATACAAGAATGTTCAAAGTGTGAACGTATATGATATGATATGATATAGTGACTGTCAGAGAAACATACGATACAAATTCGGCTGAAGAACAGGTTCCAGAAACGCCCGCCGCTCTCGAACTTCGGTACACGTACATACAGCAGCTGGTAGCGGCGCACCCAATAGCCCCACGCCTGGGTGTGGAAAAACAATGGACAACGAGGAGGTGTCAAAATATGACTTACACTAGAGCTACTAGTATACTAGAGGTATGGAGGTAGGTTAGGTATCCACTAGATATAGATAGGTGCGCATATACTAGACTTGCTAGGTGAGACATATGAAGGTAAATATCCATCAGACTTATAAATAAGGGTAGCTATCCACTAGAAATATAAGTTAAATATACTTATTTTATAATAGAGAGATTGGTACATGGACCGGACCAGACACTTACTGTGGACTCAGACTCGACGAGTACAGTAAACGCTAAGAGATACTTCAGAGGGCTACTGATGAAGACATTGCTCCCTTGCGGTTAATACAGGCGCAACACCATGAGCTACAACACCAAACACGAAGATGGGAAATGACATACGTTAAAAAAAAAGTATACGTTGGAAATCAGCGGATACATAATGGCAAACCACGTGATACAGACACAAATGGAAAGGTACTGGAAGCCGTACAATAACAACTAGAAGGACAGAACGCCCCACCATGTGGTTAGGCACCTTTCTCCACAGTCACAGAAAGGGAGCCCTCTCTCCTAGAGAGAGGGAGCCCCCCCCCCCATATGACCCTTCCATAGAGGTTCAACAAAGTGTCCACACAAGGATTGTATCGCCATTGTTCATGTAGTAAGACGTCGACTATAAAACTAAACCGCTGAAACACATATACTAACAATCAGAAGCAGAGAAGAACATACCATGTACAACAAGGCGAATGGCGAGAGCAAGGGAGCAATCACGGCGAAGCACAGCCCCAACAAATACACCATAATCAAATCCGAGGCAAAGAACGCAAACTGTGGGGGGTTGAATGTGGGTTAGAAGTGATGAATTAGTATAAAGGGTTCCATGGTGACTATACATAATGTAAGTTAAATGTGATAAATTAGTTTCCATGGTGACTATATATAATGTGGATTAAATGTGATAAAATTACTTTGCATGGTGACTATATACGCTTCAGCAGGCCAAGGTTTCAGGGTTTATCAGGGGGTGATATTTAATCGAGTGGGAATGTAAATAGCGTCGTAAAACGACTATAATAGAGCAGGAGAACCACTGCCAGCCTGTGGCTTAATCAGAGTCTCATCCAGTTCAGTTGCAGTCGTGGATGTTCAGCTGGAAGACTTACCAGAGACCTATATCAATATATGACAGAACAGCGAGACCACCGGATATCTAAAAGATACGAGAGACACCCACCAGTAGACAGAGCAGGCCGGATTGGATTTAGCACACATACAAACATCTACTACTCTGCCTATGCGCACCAGCGTGCCGATGTAGTCACATTTGCACAGGAAACTTTAAACGCACGTGCACAAAAGCGACCGCTGGCTGTACCTCGGAAGCTATACGCCATCAATTGCCGGAGCAGTTGGGGAGGCATGTCTTATGGATATGCATGGATATAGACTGTATATTCGCCTACAGCATTTTCTGAAAGACTGAGCGTAGTTGCCGTGTCCATGGCAATAAGATATCAGACCACCACACCCCTCACCACACACCTGTAGCAATGTGTGTTTAATGCACTCATACAAACATATCCAGCGATGGATGTCCTACAAACTGGTAGTCACCACAATGTATATTGCTGGATACTCAGCCTTCGCCACCCACCTCTAAAATATCCGGCAATATCATGTATAGACACCTAAACATACATATTGTATTGTGAGATACACATCTTTCGCTAGCTACCTCTGGCATGCACCATACACATGCACGTTCACAATGTACTATATTGTGAGATACACATACACCTACACAAGTGTACTGTATTGTGAGATACACATACACCTACACAAGTGTACTGTATTGTGACATACACGTACACAAGTGTACTGTATTGTGAATTACACATACACCTACACAACTGTACTGTATTGTGAGTTACACATACACGTACACAAGTGTACTGTATTGTGAGTTACACATACACCTACACAAGTGTACTGTATTGCGAGTTACACGTACACGTACACAAGTGTACTGTATTGTGAGCTACACAGCTTTCGCTACGTACCTCTGGCATATCCGGCTTCATGGCACTGAGTCTCTCTCGCGGTGTCCTGGCGAAGAACCACAGCTTAATGGACGTAATCAGCAACTCAATCACATCCAACAGCTGCCATTGCATCGTGATGAAGATTTTCACCATACTATGAATGGGCAATGTGGAAGAACCGTAAGTCAGCGATACTCGAGTGAAGAGTATAAGCCACTAACCACCAATCAAGTAGGAAGTAAATCAAGCGTATGCAGGTGTGTCTAGATATGTACAAGTCACTTAGCAACAACCAATGAGAAATTGATCAAGCG